CCCCAAAACCCCAAAACCCCAAAACCCCAAAACCCCATAATATAATAGGAATATTGAATTTCAACAAATTATTCATCTTCTGTGATTCTCAGGAAATTATAGATGCTGTTTCCAAGTGCAATGACCAAAGCACCTATGATACCTAATATACAGACTAAAATTTCTAGAGTAGCAGGAGTCTGATCGAGAAGGAAGACATCCAAAATAGTTTGTAGAGGAGCTTCTATAATAGTGATAGCTGCTGCTTGCCATGTAAGCCCATAGGTAGTTTCATAATATTCTCCAAACTCTCAAGATTTGGAGTACTCCTATCAAAGAATTCAGCCAGAATTTTAAGGATACTCCTTCAGTCATTATGAAAATAATTGTAGGAATCAAGCAAATGAGTCCTGAGATGTAGTTGAGAGAAATAAAATCAGAAGGGTTGAAATCATTTTTTGAAATGCTTGAGATATAATGTCCTCAAAGTGAAGTATGCAAACCAGAGGATTCTAATAGAAATCTGCACAATTTTTGAATACCTCTCTATTACTTTTCCTTCAACTATAACAAAAACATCTTGAGTTTTTTGTCTACATAAAGATATAATTGCTGCACATGTTATGAGAAGACCAACTCTGATGTAATGGTATATTTTAGTCTTCACATTAAATATGAAATATGTTAAGATTAAAGTGAATACTGAACAAAATTCAAACAATGTTCCTAGAATGCTTAGGTTAAGATCTGCATAGAGGTAATATTTACAAGCAAAAACCACTCTAAAGACTCCAATAATGGACAAAAACCACATCAGTTATAAGAATAAATTCTACAGCTATTATTAATTGCTCGTTTTCATCATAAAAATAGTTGAAGGAATGATCTGGATCACCTTCTTTATTTTTTTTCCTATCTACAATAAAGTAAAGAATAGCATCAATTGCAAAATCAACACTAATAAAGGCTCTTGTTTGGACCAAGTTTGAGGAGAAGTCTTCAACAAAGAAACTACTAGCAAAAGAGAATACTGAAGCTAGGATAGCTATATAAATCCATAAGTTTGGCTCAGGAGAACTATGCACTGATTTTTTGCTCGGCTTCTTCTATCTCTTCAATATCAACGCTCTTGTATTCAGATTCATCTTTTGTATCTTATTTCTTTATATTCAAATTTATGGTATCTTCAAGGGGTTTTGGGGTTTTGGGGTTTTGGGGTTTTGGGG